CATTTATCCCAAGTCTTTTCATCTCCACTCACTGTTAATGCCAATACTTCTTTCGACGCAATGGTTTAAGTCGAAGAATACACTCGCAAGTGTGGATTCTTAATTTACGAATTCACTCGGCGCTTCGCGCCTCGTGAATTCTTAAATTACGAATCCACACTTTCTCGTGTATTCTCCTTAACGGAACTCACTGCCTTGAGGAAAATGTTCCGTCAAAATTTGTCTGATATGTGACACTTACAACTTCATTGATGAGATTGGTTCCTCCAAGAGTGAAATTAGGGTGTTCTTATTCCTCCATGGTCAAAGGTATTGTCGTTCTCAGATAAGTGGGAGACGGGTTGGTATAGCCGCCGGGGTTGGGAACAAAGTTGGGTCTTTTACTTCAAGCTTCTCGGTAGGGGAGAGCCTAGCTTGAGAGGTTGGTTATGAATTGTTCATTTGGTGATGGGCTAATTCTTTCCGTTGGTTAGCAATTAGTGAATCTATTGAAATTGTTTTTTTTAAGCCAAAAAAATAGATGAGAATTTTTTTTTTTTTTTACATGTAACGGCTGGGGCGAAGTGGGGATGGGGCGAAGTGGGGATGGGGCGAAGTGGGAATGGGGCGAAGTGGGAATGGGGCGAAGTGGGGATGGGGCGATGTGGGAATGGGGCGAAGTGGGGATGGGGCGAAGTGGTTAGGGGCGAAGTGACATGGGGCGACGTGGAAATGGGGCGAAGTGTCCGACATTCCTCCGTAGTATAGTACTGACTCTTACTCCAGAGTAATTATGTGGAAATAAAATGTTTGACAAATGTACACAGAGAAAAAAAAGAGACTGAGACTCAAGCAGCATTTGCCCAATGTTGTTTGAGTTTGGATGTATTTCTTCATAGCCACTGCCTAACATTGATTACTACATAGAGATTCCACATATAAGTAAATTAACTTGAGAACATTAAAGATGTACCGTCCATGCACATGCAGCAGCTGCTATTTTCAATTATCCAGAAAAAAAACCCCACTTATTTTTAATGCTAGTTTCTTAGATATACAAAAGTCACTCACTTGTGATTGAGACACTGAACGAAAAAAGGGCCCAAATTTAGTTTTGAATTTTTATTTTTTTAAATTTTTTTTATTTACATATTTTGAATTATTTGTGGCCCCACAATTATCCAGTGATCTCAGGGTAGACTGGTTCCCGCCCCTTAACAGAATCGATATAGGGACAGAGAACCCTTCTACCGCAATGCGAATCTGTGCACAAAAGCACCCCTCCCCCACAAAAAAACCCACAAATACAAGTTGAAATTCGCAAGGAGAGAAACAAATCATATTTTGTTTACTAATAGCATGGACAGTATATCTTTTCAAAAGATGAAGGAGGGAAGGAATTGGAGGGTAGGGGTGTGGCCCCGCCCCTTTAAGTATCTTCACAAGGAAATTAAAAATCTCATCTGAAAAAAATCGTAAGACCTGATGAGTGTCCTCCTTCCTGCTCGATCTAGCCACTTATTGGCCGACGTCATATACATTAGTCTTTTGGTACATGTAGACATGGGAGGGCACTATTTTGTATTCACCTAAATTTACTGAAAATAAACAGCGCCCTCCTGTATGTCCACAGTCCACCATATGCAATACATGCAAACCCTTTGCACTTTGACCACTTTCTGTACGCAACAAGCAATTTGAAAGCAAATGGGCCATTTTGAGATATGGCGGACACATTAGAAGGGCGCTCTTTGGTTGGAGTGGGCCAACTTTGATAAAGACAAAAAGCTTGACTCCTTTCAAATAGCTGCCTTCTATTGTTTCCACCATATCTCAAAGATAGTGGCAGTTTGTCTAGAATAATGTAAAATGGTCCCACCAACTGTTAACACAGTGTTCTAGTCACTACTAGTGATATGCATATTTTCCCTTTTTTAAAACTACATTGCCAACATCCTCTGGAACATTGTTTTCCCCCGCGGTACCGACATTTCATGTCAGAAAGAAAAAGTACGGTGAAATAGTGTGGGGCCAGTCACATCCTAGCAAGAGACCCCCCCCCCAAAAAAAACAATCATGTTTAATTGTGGACTATTGCCATCTTGATGCTTGACTCCATTCATAAATCCCTGGATACCAACATTTCCCCATATTTTTTAAAACAATGCGCTAACTGTGATTTTATTTACCCAATATTAAATCATTCAATCAACTAGCAACTTCTTTGTAATATACTTCCATTTTCACATCCGGACTCCCCCTAAGAGTACTCCATTGCACATGCAAACATCGATTTACTAACATCAAACAAAATCATTCTCATCGAGATTAACACTACAATGTAATTGCAACCACTGTACATTTCAATACACCACGGAGCACGCCGCCTCAAATTTTACATAACCATATACATGTATTATGATATAACCATAAATGAATATTGACAAAGTCACATTTAACCGAAGCTGCATTGAAACAGAACCAACTCCAGTCGGTCTCTCTGTTGAACTTAATTTACAAAATTGCAACATAATAAATCTGGAAAATATACTGACTGCTATGGTTTAGCAACATTTGTCATGTTGACAAAAATACACTGATACAGATAAATGGCAACACCAAAGTATTACCCCAACAAGTGAATATTTCATAAAATTTACATTAATTCACAGAAATGGTCCCACTCTCCTGGCACCAGGGAGTGGTCGGGCACGCTGCAAAGCGTCATTGAATATTCATTATCCTCAGCTGTATGCAATTTCATCATCCAATAAAAATTCATTACTGCACAAAAAGATACGCACTTCATTCAAATCACAGACCATGCGCTCATATAATAATCAGCTTTACATAAAATGTACAGCTTCATTTTTATAGCCTTTTTTTGATTGCAATTTCTGACAAATACAACTTCAATATTCAAAAATTGACAAATATTCATTTTTTAATTTTTTTTCAGGCGCAGAAGGTATTATAGTCTCACACACATGAGTTGTGCATTGCCACAAATTTCTTTGATACAAAAATTGCAATTAAGTCTGATAACAAAATGATCCTAAACTCTGAGCCACTTTGTCCGATTTAAAGGCTGGAAGGCCTAGAATGTTAACCTTTTATGTTATTAAAGCAGAGAGAAAATAAGATTTTTAATCTTTTTTCCCCTTCAGGAATGGTATCGACAATTTAGCATTGCTTACTGTTAGGTTACAGAAAAGTTGATAAAAATTGCTGCTTTTTTAGGAGCTGAACAGTATCATTAATTGACTTCCCAGATCCTCCAAAATTTACCATGTTTTAGAGGATTTTGAAGGAAGAGAACAGAGCCCAGTGACTGTATTTCCATGCGGTTTGATAACCCTTGAAAGTTAAGGTATGAACAGCTTGGTGGATGATATACAGACAGCACTGCACATGCGCGGTTTATACCAGTTACATCTTGTCTGTGTGACAAACTACTACACACCAACGTGCAGATTGTTTATGCACTGACAGTACAATGTGTTAGGGCTGCCATAATCAAATAATTTTGTATTCGATTATTTGAACTGAGTTAAACCAAATATTCAAATATTCAAAACTCGGTGTTCAAGTTTACACATGCCAGCTGCAACAGCATGCCGCACCTGTCAAAAGTTGCACGCAAAATGGGCCGTTTAAAATGTGTGTGCAGCAATCGAATATTCGGTTATTCGGGACAGCCCTACGATGTGTTTTGTTTCAATGGTATGTGCCCTTTTCAGTTTCACCTGTGGCTAAAAAACAGAGATTGCCTTTTGCAAGGCTACGTTCTAATAACAGAATTGGTCCTTCAAAAAATTTCGCTGAACAAACACATCTAATTAATAAGTTGCACAAACACATTTAGCACAGAACTCATAAATAATGCCCACAATAAATACCACAATAAATAATCATAACAACTTGATCAGCTGAGAAAAACTTTCCCATTCACACAATCACCTTAATTACCGCCATTCACGTTTGATAAGTCTACATTTAACAGTAAACTGATGCACTTTTTCATTATTCCCGCATTCTAAGAACCAATCTGAATTCTCGCATATAATGCTGTTACACACCAACTAGACCATCGCTCCCAACTTTAGTTGGGTTGTTCTCAAGTTAACTTGGGCCTGTCCAAACTATGGTGCTTCAACTAGACAACATAAGTTGGGACGGTCCCAGCCTAACTTGGGACCATGGTCTAGTTCGGGCGTAACAGCATCAAGAAAGAAGACAACAGAGAACTCAAGGCTTCTCCCCCTTAGACTCTATACTCACGAGAGTTGAAATAGACCCAAGACCTAATGACATCACACTTACTTATGCCCTTTCTTATGAGAGCCACATGGCTCTCTTAGGAAAGCGCATGTCTAAACAAAGCGTGACGTCATTAGGTCTTAGGTCTATTGAGTTAATCACAAGTACACACTGTACATCACAAGTCTCTAAACTCACCAGAGTTGAAATGGACCCAAGACCTAATGACGTCACACTTTGTTTACTTGCGCCCTTTCCTGAGAGCCAGGTTCGACGCGTCCCACATGGCTCTCTTAGGAAAGCGCAGACACATGATTCCCAAGACATTAGCATGGGCGTCGCATGTCTAAACAAAGCGTGACGTCATTAGATCTTATTTGTAGGTCTATTGAGTTAATCACAAGGGCATCACAAATCAATCACAAGTCATTAGCCAGGTCACAAGTTACTTTCAGTTGTAATGAAAGGAAAGCCGTTGGCTTGTGGCGGCTTGTGATGGCTTGTGATGACTTGATTACGACACAGCCACTGGACCAGCCACAACAGGCCAACTTTTTACCAGAACCCTTGAGAATGATTCGGTACATGTAGGTTCTGCATGTACATTCAGTGAAAGGGTGAACCTGTAAACATCACACGTCTTCAGATCAGATCATCTCTGTTGGATACAAATCCTCAAACCACAATAAGAAAACCAAATTGGTTCGCTTGTATTCGATATCAGGTTGAACAAAGAAGTCGACAAAGAAATGTATAAGATGTACGTTGAACTAAGTAGGTTTTATTTAAAGATGCCCTTTTTATTTAAAGTTACTGCACCCCTGTGTGATTTGGATGTGTATGTTTTACTTTGACATTGATCAATGAAGTAAGCGTTGGAATCATATCGAAATGGACCTTGTAAAAAATATAAACACAGATTACCTTATATACTTTAAGTTCTTCCCCCAAATTCCCTTTAATACATACGTTGTAACACATTATTTCTTAAATAGTGCATAGAGATTTCCATAATAAATAACCAAACATATCTCAACACTTATTTCAATATCTTTAATATTCCTACTGCCCGTTTGAGCTAATGCGTTACAATTGCATAAAATGTACTTCAATTCCACCACTGCTGAAGTCAAGTAAATAGGACAATTTTCTAGTTTTCAATCACAGTAAATTCTTGCTTATTTATACAAATATCGTCCAGAATCTTTAAAAAAAAATTCACTTTGGAACACAAAAAAACATGTAAACACTGTATTCAAACAATTCAAAACAAACTTTCTAACACAATCTTCAAGGACCCAAAGACTTTTTTTCGCAACAAAAACAAATCTTAACTTCTAAGTGTGACACCTACTGACTTTTACTGTACCCTCTTCTTTGATTTCGATCTGAAAGATATAGGCATTCCTAAATTGTACACTTCTAAACCAACTCTTAACCTGCAAGCATACATATACTCACGTTTTATCAAACTCTGCACTGTGGTTCATATTCCCCGTTTCTATTTTGCACTTTAGGCAGACAGTATTTCCAAAATATTTATGTTAGAGTTTTCAAGTCAGCTTTCTGTGACAACTCCGCAAATTTTTGTCTGTCATTTCCTGATTAAAATTAAAGGGAAATGTACAAGAATACAAGGAAAAGGAATACTGAAATTGTTATTACTATCAGTTAGAATGTATTTTATTTTGAGGTGTTTTTTTTGGCCCTTTGCCAAAGTATTTTATAAACACTGTCCGAGAGCTTGCGATACAGTTCTTCAAAAATACTGTCTCACAAAGTTTGATTCTCGTACCCGCTGCTACATCAGACTCGAACCAGCCAACCGATCCCAGCAAGCTCGGTGGTCGAGTGGTAAGACGTCTTCACTAGTAAGCAGGAGGTCGTGGGTGCAAGTCCCATCCGAATAAGCTTGTGAATTTTTTTCTCGCAATCCCTCGAACAACACTGAGTAAAGAGTGTTCATAAAATACATCAGCGAAGGGTAAAAAACTCAATATACAATTTACATCTCTCTGACGCAAAATTCATCTTATAAAAAAGCTGCATTTTGTTTCTCAAAAAAACCCCGACAATCTTTCGACCAAGTGTTGTCATTCTGGGTCTCACTGCGTAGACTTCATTCTTTCCGCCAAATTATATGGTGGTACATGTACTTAACCAGTTCGAGCCGGAGGACGTGTATACACGCACAAGTTTTTCCGAAATTCAGATTGCATGACTGATAAACCCGCGACGAGCGAGGCCGGCAAAATATCCGTCAGCGACCTGCTCGCAGCGAGCGAGGTCGGAAATATCAGGGTGTGCTACCTGCAGATGACCCGTCCGGCATCGAGCTTCATGGAAACCAATCCCATGCCTGGCTCCGATCATGCCAAAATAATCCCGACGCGAACTGGTTAACAGAGAGTGTGGGTAAATGAAGCCAAGAATTTAATCAGTGGATGGATCAAGATTTTTATAAATTAATGTACAATTTACAGGTGTATACAAAGTAAAGAAGTGAATACATAAATTTTGCACCAGCAAGCAAATTCTGCCCGCATGTACATTTCATCTTGCAATACAGTGATCACCATGACATAATGTAGCAACCGAAAGGCTTTGCTCAAAAAGTAGATTTACTTCACATTTTTGCACACAAACATACATGTTGTAATGCATTTCCTAAGACATTTCATTGCCATTTGCCACTAACAGCACATTAGTGGGCAGACATACATGTAGTTGCTTGTGAACCCCAACAACGTAAAGGTTCAATGTAATGCATGCACATTTACAATATCTTGCTGAAAATATAATGCTTGGCTACTAACATGACTAACATTTTTGATGATCAGCTACACTATAATTGTGTATACAAAATTATCTTTTTCATGACGTCACAATCCAAGTTAAGATTTTCATGACGTCACAATCACTGTGTCTCACATGTAATTGTTACGTCAGAAGGGCGTCGCAAGCAGTGCGCAATAGGCTATACATGTACACATAACGTGCGCAGACATCAGCTGACTGGCACTCAAATTGTGACGTCACGAAAGTCTGTCTAAGCTTTTTTGGTCATTATGTGCTTTGAAATTGGTCAGTTGGGATAATGATATGCGGTTTGTTGGACAGTACTTCGCCCTGAACCGGACCGTACTCTATAACTTCCCCGTCTACGGTGAGAATACCTGGCTTCGTGAGCGGCACCAGACGGAACGCTTTGACAAAGAGTGACCGAGTGAAAGGCAGGGTCAGGTGCCTACCCGTCTGTATGGCATTCACAAACTCTACCATGTTCCGACGCGACTGCGGGAAATGCATGAACTGAATGCTGATGACGCCCTCGTCAAACTTCCGGCGCGGCCAGACTTCTACATCCACGGCAATGTGGGACATGTAGGTCAAAAGAATGCCCACAAAATCCCCCTCAATAGTGGTCCAGCCTTCTGGGAGGGGGTCAGTTACCTTTGGAGGTAGGTAGGAGGATTGGGAGGATGGCTCTAAACTAGGATTACTACTACCAGGGTGGTTCGGTCCAGGTATAAATCCGTTGGCTTGCAGCGGATTCGATTCAGTTGCTTCGGGATCATCACTGCCTACATCATCATCCTCCATGATGAACTCTTCTGAGAAGGCTAGCCCATTCCCCGCTTCAATCTTGGAGAGATCGGCATTTAAGGATCTGAATCGAGGCAGGTGGGCTTTAGGAATGCCCAAGCCTTCAGAGGTCGTGTCCATCGTGCTATGGGGGCGCGGCAAACGTTTCTTGACTTTCTTTTTGGCGGCTGGAATCCTGAGATGCTCGTACTGCTCTTGGTTCTCCGCGGGTAGGTAGGACAGCGCCCCGTGATAACGCCGCAGGTTCAGAACGCGGATGATGGTGCCGATGGTGAATCGCGGCTTGCCCATCCAGCGGAAGCGTTCACTCTCAATGTCGATGTCGGCGATGATGCCCCAGGTCAGGGCCAAGAAGGAATGAATGTGACGGATCGGGGTGGTGATGGAGACCAGGTCGATGGGGTGGTGACCTCCCTTACAGAGCAAAAACGCTGCGTGAAGAGGAGGAAGTTTTGCCAATTGCTCTCTACATGTATTTTAACAAGAAAGGGGGGAAAAAGATTAATTTAATAAGCAATGGATACAATGGACGCAAGACACTCTAGCTAGGCACTCAGCAACCATCTCTCAGGTGGTTTTGTTGTTTTCATTAAGCAAAAAAGAATGAACAAGAGGTCTGCTCATGCAAATCAGTGTGGAACAAAAGTATGCAATTAAAAGGTGGCTGCAATGCAAAGGATTGCTTTCCAGTCATCTCACAGCAAGAGTGTAACACTAGAAGGTTTCAGTTTCAACAAGATGTGACCCAAGTTCTTATAGAGCTTTCTAGAGGCCCTTTTGACACTATCCACAATCTCTGTGTTGAAACCAGGTCAAACACCGGGAAACTGTTGATTAACATTTTTAGATGTGCTGCCATCTTTTCATGTGTATAGCTACATGTGTGATGCGTACTACATCCGTGCGACAGTTCCACGCATGCGACAGTTCCACGATTGCTTCGTAACGCGCATGCGTAATGGACTATTGCACGGGTAACCCATGCCATAGTCTTCTATGCATGCGTATTTACCCTGTGCGTGAACACTCGCGTGCACGCTTGGTACACAGCAAAAACAGCGGCTGGCACGTGATGGTGAATGGCCCAGTGAGAATTTGGCTCTCAATCATGAACATGTATGAGGTATGCCTTGTCGACCCATGTTCGATCGGATGAGGTTTCACTCATGGTGGACCCATGTTGATTTCAACATGGGCAGGCGAGACGGTAGTGTGAACATGCCTTAGGTGTTATGGCCTACATGTATTTGGGAAAAAGACGTTTTGATCTACCGGTATCTTACCCTGTTTTGGACATAACTGCAGCAAACAGTGCATTGCCAGAGCCTGCCGGTATGATACCAATGGGGATTTTGAGGACTGACGATGGGTCTTGATGCATCATCATGCCATTCAGAACCTGAGAAACAATCACAAAGACAACGTTTAATAGTCAGTACAGCCAATCTGCTAAAAATCTGAATTATCTCAAACCTGTTGCACGTTACGTTACCTCAAATCAGTGTAAGGCTTTTGTCACTGATACCGGTACATGTATGTCAAGTACACGTACATGTATGTAAAAATAATAATTATTTTATTTTAAAGTTGAACAAAGAAAGTGACAGTAAAATCCAACATAACGGTAGGTCCAACCACACGATGTACAAGGTCGTTAGGGTGGTGGTACCTAAGTTTGGTGTATAATTTATTTTTACTACACCTCATAAATATTCATGATCAAATTGGAGCGCATCATTGGCCAATTCAGCCGCACGGCTGGGAAGTAAACATGATAGGTGACGTCATCCAGGTGAGTTCCAGCTCGCTGCCCTGCGGTAATTTTTTTCTGGTAGCACCAAAAATTGGGACCAGTAACTCCCACTACCAGTACTTCCCCTCAAACCATGCTGTACTTTTTACTACGCATTAGATGTCCTACTACTAGTGATGTATCGCATTCACTTTTCCAACAGCAGCTCATTAAGGTGTCTGACACAGAGTTGTAACGAGTCAATGATTTTTGTGACTCGAGTCGAGTCGAGTCATTTTAAAGAAGTGACTCGAGTCGAGTCGAGTCATTAGGACAACAAGGTCGAGTCGAGTCGAGTCGAGTCACAGAGTGTGGTTGAGTCGAGTCGAGTCGAGTCAAGTATTTAGCTCGAGTCAATTCGAGTCACAAATATTTGAACATTAAATTACAATAAAAAGCAACAAACACAAGAGAGAAAGAATACAAGGCACCAGTCTATTACGGAAATCCAAAGACATAAAGTATGCTGTATGGTACCCAACCAACAGTTTCCATTGCTAGCTCACGTCACAGATAAGAAGATGTGAAACTTCGGTCTTATAACTGGTTTGGCTTCGGGTCTAGATTTTGTTGTTCGCTGATCGCCGACAACGTTAAAACCTAATTGCATTATACAAAACTGTTTCTGATTATTTAAAGGTGGGCCCGTCCGTATCCATTTTTGTTGTTGTGAAATCGGGACATGAATTTAGCCAGCGTTCCACTAAGAACTTCAAAATCGCCGGATAACCAATGATGAAACCACGGATTGAGAAATGCGTTTTATGTCTGGTTCCGGGTTTAGCATTACATGCTATAGAACCACAAGGTGGGAGTCCGCGACACGGTGTATGTTTGTTGTTTCATTATGGAGGAAGGAAACAGACTGCCGCTGTATATAAACGTACATTATTCGCGAACATTAACGTGACGTGAACAAAAACTGGCAACGCGAACGGCGCAGCGTAAGTCATTGCAAATATTTTTCGCAAGTAAGGTTTGTTTTTATTTTGGGACTCGAGTCTTATTAGCCTTCCTCGAGTCCAGTCGAGTCATTCTAATGAGGGACTCGAGTCGAGTCGAGTCATTTGCTCGCAGTGACTCGAGTCGAGTCGAGTCATTTACCCGTCGGGACTCGAGTCGAGTCGAGTCGCCAAAAATTGTGACTCGAGTCGGACTCGAGTCGAGTCATTGACTCGAGTCATTACAACTCTGGTCTGACATCATGTTCGTCTGAATTTACGGAATTGTCCTGGAGCAGGCTTTGAACCTGCGACTTCTGGACTACTGTTCTGGTGCTCCACCAACTGAGCCGTATGTTGGCAGTTCCCCAGTTTGTCAATGTCTTTGTTCAAAGGGCGCTAGTCAGAAGCCATAAACCTGTATGCCATGTAGCCAAGGATCACTCCCAAAGCAATGCTGCAATCCTGGGAAAAAGCAAGTGTGCATCATCCAGACAGGATACAGCTTTTTATTACAAATTTTATTTGAAAATCTTCATTTAACGTTTGTGACTAAAATTCAAATTTGTAACTACCGGTAAAGTACCTACCCACCGTGCAACACTCAAGAATTTCGGACAGGAAAAAATTACAGTTGACAAGTCTGAGCTAAACCATTTGTAAACTGTGTGAGATCCAATGCTGTAGTGGTCAAACTTAATAGTGGGGCTGGTCAACTTGCTTGTTGGCACCCTTGCTCGCACCCCTTAATTTTTTGGGGGCAACTAGTCAAGCTACAATCCTGGCCAAATCTTGCTGGGCCCCTTACCCCCCGGCCCCCGTTCAATATTGTCTCTCATTGCGCGGTGTGTGCTCCATCAGCTGGAGAGAACAACATTGACCGGGGGAGCGGGGGAGTGGGTGACCGTGGCAGGCTCAGGAAGTGTCCCAACCATATTGGCCGGGATTGTAGGCTTGAATGGATCGATCATGATGAACAAATTCTCTAAATGCTGGGTACAAATGAAAAAGTGCAAACATTTGATTACGCCTACCTCATAGACAAGCCCGTCCCCGGCTACGACGACAATTCCTTGCCACTCATTAGGATCCAAAGTTTTGGCCATCTCCGTTGCTTGAAACTGCTTATCTGTAACACAAAGAAAGAAATGCAAACTTACAATAAAAAGTCTGGAACTTTGTATTACCATTTCCAAACTGGTAAGCTGAGGGAGGGGTCTGTTGGGTTTTACCAGCTCTGGGAACAATCTGGAGAAAAAACTGATTGAAATCACAAACACACATTTCATCGGCAGCCTGCTGAATCTAACATTATCCTTGAAACAGTGATTTTAAAGTTGAGCAAAGAAATGCATAGCAGCTGTGTTGCTTATAAGCATACGTAAATCTTCACACCAGAAGTTTGTACTGAGGATGTTTACGACGAAAGCGTGCATCTGCGATTTATTTTTGCTAAACATGTCGCCCACGGAATTTACTTTTTCTAAACCAAGCATCTTGTAATTCTGGACACAATGAATATGTTAACAAAATTTCAGCTTGCTCCATCAGGTAAAAAAATGAAAACAATTTGTTATAATTTTGTTCCCTATGGCAGCAGAAGTTCATACCCTGGATTCCATCGGGTGTACACCACGGAAGAGTCCAACCTGGGCTATACATGTAACCCTCCCTCTTGGGATCTCAAAAGTCGTAACAAAGCACCATCTACTGTAGTCTAGGGGCTGGACTTTGTTATGGTTAGATACATGCGATAACCCGCCACAGCAAGAGGGCAATATGACAACCAACCAATATCAACCACGAACTTGTACACATACATGTATGTACGTGATAATGTTGTTCCCAAGTTTGCTTAAAGATAATTATACGTAAACCCCTCTTTTTTAAAATTACAAATTAATTTAAAAAATCAGAAAATAAAACTACCGGTAAATGATTTCTTCTACGTAGCTTCAAATGTAGGGACAACCATGCTTGCACTGTACATGCACATTTTTAAATTTTGTGCACATCATAATATGCAAATTACATGTACATGTAAATTTGTGGATATTATGTAAAGTACATACATGTACCTAAATGGAAAGTACAAATTATTAAGCCATATGCCAATATCCATGCAATTGCAATTTTTGTCGTAAAAAATGTGCCAATTCTATACATGTGCACGCAAGTACCATTTGCAGAGCAGACGGTAATGTAAAGATTCAGTCCATATGTCCAGACAAATGTATGCACTTACAAGGGGAGGATTTTGGGCAAAGGTGGTGATATCTACTGTCTAGAGAATTCATGTACCGGTACATGTACCCAAATTATCCTTGATGTTTCTGAACAAAAACTAAGCTGACAAAACATGACGTTATCAGGGTACGACTCAATCATGTCAATGCTAACCTGATCATATCATGGACTATTGAAAGTTTCCATATGTACACAATTTTATGAGCCATGCAATACTTAAGAAAATCAAATTTGGAAAATAATGGACTTCACTTGGTTATTTTATCTAACAACCTTGTAACTGATGATCTGATCGTCATTGAAAAAATACTAATTATTGCCAAACATCCCGACATGCTGGTGCCATCGTTTTTGCTACGTTTACGATTGCGGTTGTTGACATTTGAAAATGTACAGTGCAAGCATGGTTGTCCCTACATTTGAAGCTACATGTATGTAGAAGAAATCATTTACCGGTAGTTTTATTTTTTGATTTTTAAAAATTAATTTGTAGTTTTATTAAACAAGAGGGGTTTACGTATACGATAAATATTAGTCTTCAAGAAAACTTGGGAACAACATTATCACATACATATGTACATGTTTGTACATGTACAGTATGTACCGGTAGCATGGTCCATACTGCACTCTGCGTATCGTGCTCTTCTCAGTGAATATGCACATACACGTCGAGTATTAGTTCATGTAGTTGTCAGTTTCCTAAAGCTGCACCCATTGATGCTTATCACATGCATCATGCACAGGGAGGCATATTAATGCCCAGGGTTGGTGTAATTAAGATGCAGCAGACACATTTTCATAAGGCAAAGACACCGCACAGCACAGGTGAGAGGAGAGTTTTGAAACTGATTAAGAATGGAATGATTCTGACGCGCAGGCAGTCTGGTTTCGGCGGGAAGCGCACTATGTGCACGCGTAAATTATTCATCTCCAGAATGCAGCAGGAATATAAAAGAGGATTGTGAGATGCCAAGATGGATGAAATATTCCTCACATTTACATACATACACGTATCATTACCCAAGCTTGACTCCTACTGCCTCCTATTCCAATATTTTTTGTGCGCTTCTGCCACCGTTTCACCTTGTCAAATTTTACTCAATTCCTTTCCTTTCAATTTCATTTCACTAGTCGTGGTTCTGTGTATGCCCCCAAGTACATGTACCGGTATATTTTTTCAATTCTCCTTTTTTCATGTTTGGTTTTGCAGAGTTTTGTTTAAATCAAGTGACTGATTTATGTTTGGAAAATAAATATGATGCCAAGTTGCCTGACAACCGAAGTTTCAAATTTACTCATTTTCTTGACATACCAGTATGCGTACAAGTTTCCTTGTGCAATGTTGTGGAGGCATTTCACATGTGGATTCAGAGTATTTTTGCTTACAACTTATAGCACGTGGCCTTGTGCCTGCCCAAGAGGGAAAGCCTTCATTTTGGAAAAGCAGTTTTCAATTAATGGAACAGACAAAATGTAACCAAGTAACTGCCACAGTGATTAATTAATTTACCAAGTTATCGTTCCATGCCGAAATTCTGCAGTGCGACATACGCATGTACATTTTGTTTTTTAGTCGTCGGTATTTTTCTTGCTATATTCTGCCTCTAAGTTTATCCTCACTGCCTCCTCTTCTTAACTATACATTGTTCATTGTAAATCACGCCACAAGCATTCCAAAACGAGACATTTTTGAGTTCCTCAGACCTAAATTTTGTTTAATCTTGTTCCCCCTTCTTGTTTAGTTGCCCCAACCAGTGGCGTAGCACGGTCATTTTTATTGGGGGGGGGGGAATTTCGTGAAAAGGGCACTTGCACATCCGTGGTGAAATGTACACACGTTTTTTTCTCCGGATATGCGCCATCCGTCGATGGGGGCGCTGTTCAAAACAGACGATTTACAGTGCTTTTTAGGGCGATACCGGTACATGTGTGAAATTTTTAAAAAACACCCGGAACGGCCGATGGCACAACAGGGGCACCATTTTTTTTTTTTAAAGGGCACTTTACTTGTTCAGATAAAAAAGGCACTGCTTCAAAAAAAAGGGCACTATTTAAAAATTATTGGGGGGGGGGGGGGGGGGGGTTTAAATACCCGCCTTACCATCCCCCCCCCCCCCCCCCCCCCGGATTCGCCTATGCCACCACTTCTCCCTTTGTCCTGCCAACATGTTTTGTACATGTACAGTATGTACATGCAGTCCCCTGGACATCTATTCTTTTTACTTTTTAAATCACTTTTTGGGCCGTGTATTTTTCCTGTGTTTACATTGGTACCATCCTGTATAAATTTGCGGTCCACTTTTTTCCTGTTCCTGTGTTACAATGTATATATGTACATCTGACTTTTACGTTTAATACACGTACATCACGTACATCATGAAGATGTATCTCATGAAGTGCATAATTTCAATGCATTTCTTGTGTAATACTGAACATCTACACAATGTACATCAGCAGATTTCCTTTAAAACTAAAAGCTTAACACAATCAATGTGAACTAATATGCGTACGTACATATAGGCCTACGGTACATGTATAAACATGTACACTGTACGTACAGGTACAATGTAGGTACCGGTAGCCGGTACTGTACCCTGTTCATTTATATTTTAGTTGCTATCACAATTATTTTTAGACAGATTTGGTTTTAAGTTGCAGTTTTCATTTTTTTAAGTACAATGTGAAACCTGTACTTCCACTTAATATTTCAATATACCACACTAGTGGGTTATAAATATATTCTGCTCGCTTCCTGCTTTGGCATGTATTTGTTTCATGTTTTCCGTGTACAAACACAACATGCATGACGGGGACTAATGCCATTCATAAAATACACATCAACAGTCAATACGTTATATAATATCCTGTTCAATAATTCTCAAAGTACACATTTGTACACTTGCACATGTGCATGTGTACGTAGATCTGGCCAAGTATTATTTTCATGCATCATGAAAGGAAAATGTACATTAAACAAGTGTGCATATGAAATATGAAACCTTGCATAAAAGTACACGTCATTCACATTCAAAGTTGCCATGGTTACATTGACAAGCACTGCCCTTGACAGGGGAACAACAAATTAATTGCCATCAATTGCAAGATTATTGGCCAATCATGCATGGCAACGGAACCACATACAGGGTACAATGTACAGAGGATCTAGGAGCTATGAGGATCTAAAGATCAAAATGAATGGAGGATGGAGACTGAATGAAATGATGGCATGATTCTTGACTGTCCGCAGTTTGAATCCAACGTCATTTTCCTGTCAGTCAGGCGCGTAGCCGGGCTTTATTTACTCCTTGCAAAAAAGAGTTTTTGTCCAGTTCCCGATTTCACATTTATAATCCATTTTTGATGTCCAGATTTTGCTTCTATCAGCATCCCGATTTTGCTGATAAAATCTCTAGCCCATTGTATTCTGCCATTATGCACTACCCCCCTCCCCCTTTGCCACTGCTGTCAGTCCCCGCTGGGTTTTGGAATTATGGCTAATTAATTATCTGCATGCACAAATGGTAATTCTGTTTTGTGTACACTTTGTATATGGGGAAATTCAGTTTTCAAGGCGAGTAGCGGCGGAAAATTTTTCACTGCGCGGCAACCCCTGGTCCGAATTTTATGTTTTTGGTATCAAAAGATGCGCCAGACTTGAAGCTAAAAGGTCAGAACAGCTCGGGTCATGAAAAAAAAAATTCAAGGAAAAAGTTGAGGGGGGGGGGGGCCCTTTTGGTTAGGGGAATAAATATGTGCTTGGCCATTTTTAAACAAGTTGGCTCATACATAGAGTTTGTATATATTTACACATAACCTGCTCTAGGGCATGGACGCGGATATTGGGCCGAGCCGAGGTACATGTACATGTAAGTACTCTACTACAACACTGGAATATAGTCCTTGTGCTCTTGAGCAAGGCACTTTACCATTATTGCTTCGTCCTTCGGATGGGACGTAAAGCCGTAGGTCCTGTGTGTTGTGTACTGCACGCTATAGAACCAGTAACACTTATCGCTAAGAGAAGGGGTTTGCCCCGGTGTTTCTGGCAGTGGTTGCAATATGTAGGCCTATATGCCACAGCACCTTGTATACGCTTTGTAAAGGTGTGTGGGTCTCATATTTCTTTAAAAAACTTCATTTATCTGTCTTTAAAAATACCAGTAATTGACAGCGCCTTGAGTACCCAATTGTTGATACATGTAGATCTGTACCGGTATGTGCGCTATATAAGACTCTGGTATTATTATTATGACCACCCGTGTGGCAGGCTTTTGACCAATAGGAAAGGGCAAAACTCTCAGGAGTTTAGGAATTGTTGTTTAACAAATAAAAAATACGGACTGCAACAAATTTTGGAGAAAAAGAAATGGAATTTGTTGAAGAGCACTGGGAAAACAACTTCCAATTTTAAACCTTCAATTTTAGTTGTCATCCACCACCAACCCCCCACACTGCATGCCCTGGCACTACTCCAACTACAGGCCAAAAGAATGAATAATTCTATGTTCCCAGAGGCTTACTTGTGACAACCAAGTCGTAGTCAAGCTCAGCATCTCGGAATATGGGCACGACCTGCTTGTTGAATATCTGTACGCCCTTGCGGCGCCCGCTGGCAGGGTTGACTAACACTAGCAGCTTCCTAGCAGGTGGCAAACGAGCAGCTGAAATATCTGCAGAGAAAAACAAAAGGATCATGTTATATCTTACAGTATCTTCAAGAAGTATAATCTACTTCGGTACGTAATCCTGTAGAGTGCACTTCACCTTTTTTTTCCCACACAAGTTTTGTGCAGTCGTCGGGACAATGTCTGGCCTGTTCCCTGACCTAAGACTTGGGGGGGGGGGGGGGGAGGGGAGTGGAGTGGTGGGGGGGGGGGGGGGGGGGGGGAGGGGAGTGGAGTGGTGGGGGGGGGGGGGTTTCAGCCGCAAGTAGAACTTTTCATCTCAATGTCCACAATACAGTATTCATCATGCCTGTGTGAGTACATTTTGCTTATAAACGCTGCCAAAGGATGTCAGGTTTTCACAAAGGGTGCTTATGGTTCCAACACACAAAATACGTGCTCATAGGGAAACAACGCAATATCGTACACAAAGAGCGCTGCCTTGTGATGCTCAGGAGCAAGGTGGCATAATATTTTCCCTGGAAATTAAAGATTGTGACCCCCCCCCCCCCAAACATTTTCCTTTTAATTTTAATAGTGGTAACCGGGTAATTTTTTTTTTTATATTCCCCTCCCCCAAAACCACCCCTAAAATGATTCTTAATCCCAGGGCCCAGGTCTAAATGTAACCCCCCCCCCCCTTCCCCCGCCTCTATGCGAAATAGACCCACAGGTCCGGCTTTTTTCGAATAAACTCGCCCGAGTTAGAAGCCACAAGTCACAAGTACTTGATTGACTTAAATAGTTCTACAATCTATCCCAATTATAGGCCGCAAGGACCTCTTATTCAAAATTAACTGTGGGGTCACAAAATATTAATGAGCTCGCGCGCACTAATTTGAAGGTTTATGGTGGCGTGCACCCTTTTAGTATCTTGCAAATATTTTGAACACGTACTGTATAAGTACCGGTACATGTATGATGAGGCCACAAGTAAAAGTAAAAAGGAAAAGAAAAAAAGGAGGATGGATGGACTCAACTCTAACAGTCCTGAATCCTCAAATTTTAATACGATTTTTGCACACCCATAGGGAGTAGGGTTAATTAATTTAAATTCATGATCAGGACAGGTTTCAACCTACTGTTATGCACTGACTCTATATCCTGTTCAGACTTTGTACAAAATAGGATACAGTTTAATTTAATAACGTGCAAGCTGTTTTAGCACCATGTTCAGGAGGCTGATAAAAGGCCAATAATGATCTAAAATGTTTCCATTTTAAATTCCTTGGTACACTGTAGCTAGGGAACAGAGAGTATTTATGATGAATAAGCTCTGTGGTTACCTGACTTTATACAGATAACTAATATTAAAACATGTGTACCCTGGTACATAAGAATCTTACATAACGAGTCAAAAGTCAAACATCCTAATTAAAAAAAAACCTGGGTCACTTTAAGGGATTATATACAAGCATTCATTAACTTCATTAATGTTTTACTAAAGCTCAGTAGGCCTAATAAGCATTTTGTTAGTGGCACAGAATAAACAGTGACTATATTTAGTTTTTGACCAAGATTTATAAAAGCGTACACATGTTTGTGCAAATGCAGCATTAGGGCATGATAGAGACGAAGAGCAAAAAATGTGTGCACATACCGGTGTGTGTGCAAGCCATAACTAAACATTGTGGGTAAAATAAGGAAAAGAAAGCAAGGCAAAAAAAAGGCCCAAAATAATGACATTGACAGCTTACATGTAAATTTGAAGTAATTATTATGTATGTACGGTAGCTGTGTGTGGGTTATATTCTATAAATTGAGGGTCCAAAGTTTGAGACTTTTCCTGTCCCTGTTACCTGGTTACCTCTGAACTTTGTAATTTGTCATTCAAGTGTCACCGAAAATTATAACTTCAAACTAATTTAATTTGTTTCGTAGTTCGGATGCTTCACTTTTAATCACTATTGGAGGACATCGGCATACTTGTATCAAGAATTTCAAAATCATAGCTGTCAGATGTAACACAGACAGGAAAAAAGTGGACCCCAAATTTATAGAATGACCCACGGTAGTCACCCTGCAACATTCTGTTGAAGAACTACATGTTCATGTAAGACACAAAAACTGCAGTTCAGACAAAATGATCTCACACAGTCAATTTCGAGATGTCGCTCTCAAATCACATAGGGCCTACATGTACCGGTAAGTGAGCGAATCTGCTCTAATTTGTCGGATAATTTCGCGTTGGAAAGTTACATGTATACCCTCTGCAATTGTACCCACTTGATTTGCTACATTATACGTTCAGTGATTCACGCTTCAATTTCACGATTTGGTTTCTCTGAATGAATTACATGTAGACTGTCAATCCAGTGGTTTTTCATGCAATTTCTATTAATGTTCCAAGATAGCGGTGGGAAAAATCAGAGATTTCAAAATCTGGTCATCCTATTTTTTTTCTGATTTCACCGGAAGTTCCCGTCCAGCTCACAGTCAAACCAACAAAAAGTAACGAGTGAAGTGCTGTGCATGCAATGCCCTCCCAATAATCCAATGGTAATTAGGTACAGTTTGCAGGATTCAATGACAACTGGGCCTTCACAAAAACACTCCAGAGCTGTAATGGTGAAAAAATGTGATGGGAACTCTCTGGTAAGTGAAATGGACAAGGATCTAAGACCCCGTTCCCACTTGATCCACCAATTGGTGGATCTGATCCACCTTTTGCCAAATTGCCGGATCAGATCCCCAATTGGTGGATCAGATCCGGCAATTGTGTGTAGTGGGAACGCTAACCGTTATAAGGTGGATCAGGATCAGATCCACCTTTTCTGATCCACCTCTGGACCAGGATACAGATCCCCCAATTGGTGGATCAGATCCGGCAATTGCCGGATCACGATCAGATGGGAACGCAAAAGGTGGATCTGATCCGGCAATTTGACCTGTTAACATCCGCCCGGTGCACGAGTGGCGCGAAAATGTTGCGGTCTCATGAACGAAGAAACACGTTTTCAGGCGTGTAGCTCATGTGAACATTTCCAGCGTATACAACATGCACAATAAACAACCGCTGAACTACGGGCTAGCACCGTAGTTCAGCATTTTTGCACCGCATGCAAAAGCGCACGTGGTATCCTAAAACTACACTATATAGGCCTTATTTTTGTTGCGTGTTCGTCCATTACTAAACCTTTTTCATTCCTGAAATTTTACTTATTTTTCCATCCATAAATGACTCTGAGTCCGCACTCACCAAAAGACTTCACTTTGGCACAGAATCATGGAAAAGCTTACGAGTATGCGATGAGAATAGTGCCGATAACGCGGGCCGCGGTACGTACGGAGGTGACAAATCTGAAGTATTGATTATAGAAAATTGGAAAATGATGTCGTAGTACATCATGTGACCGTTTCTAACCAATGAGAAGCTTCAGAACCAGGGAATCCCTTATCGATGCATTGGTTTCTGCCGTGATGTCACACAATGAGCGGCTCTGTTGGATTTCACCTGTTAATTTATGCACGCACGGATCCTCTACGGATCCGTGATTTATGTTGGTGAATTCGCGTAATTTTTGTCTGTGAATTCTGATAGTGCTGTTTGAAAACTGACCCATCCTGGCCTGGCATGCAACCATGCAACAATGGCACTCCCACAGAGCGCGCGTAATTCCGAACTTAGTGACCTTTCGGACCCAACATTTCCGTACGAAAAGGTGGATCAAGCATAAGTGGGAACGCGACTTGCGGTTTCGTTGCGGTAAGATAACGATCACACCAAAATGCCGGATCCTGATCCACCTTTTTCCAATTCAAGTGGGAACGCGGTGTAATTCTACCTCCATGGATACACAGAGGAGGCCACTAGCAAGTGAAGCAGTTAGGAATGCCCACACTAATGGGCCAATTAGATAAGTTTATGGATACATGTTGCATGTAAAAACTTTATGTAAAATGTCTGTCCTTTGTTACATACGTAATACTTTTAAAAACAATATCCACCGTATTTTCTAAAATACCGGTACAAAACCATATCCTTTGCAGGTGAGGATACCGGTATTTGTTTAAAGCTTGCAATGTTTACAGCAAAAATTATGAGACCAAAATCCTAGTTTTATTATCAAAACTCAAAGTCTTCTAAAATGTCACACTTTTGGGCCCATTAGTGTGGAATTGCCCACTTACAATCAGAGACCATGGAGCAAATTGAGGAACGTTTCAGTTGTTTTCTTTAGCCTGTGTCACAAAAAATGGGAGGCTTCATTTTTTTCAAGGTTGGTTTTCGAAATCCGGTTTCCAAAATCGAAACAGAATAGTGGAATTCAAACCGAATTTAAAAAAATCTGGATTTAAATCCCACCACTACAATGTACATTGTACTCCACATTACAGTAAGTACCGTACCCACTTGACCAAGTCAAACGTTCATCCTTATGAATTAAAGTTTGGCTATATACATTTACACGTATCGCAAATATTGTCTCCTATTACAATCCTTCACTGCAACTTTTCCACATAAAAACCTTCTTAAATTGAAGCTGCAAATAGGCCTTTTTTTATTTCAATATGTTGGCAATTGTCAAGCAATTTCTAATTTATAAGTTTAAGTAGAGAAAAGGTGTAAAATATTCTGAAACGTCATCATCCCTTTTGTCAACACAGCACAGTGAGATTCCATAAAGGTTTTTACCTGAAATACATGTCACCAAAAATACGTTTGTGTTTAAAAAAATAAATAAAAATAGGCTGATGTGATAACTTAACAGAAACCTCACCGGGGGGCAATTTTTACAGGTTGTACTGTACCTGACAATATACACGTACACGTATAGGCCCTATGCATCCCAATAAATACCGGTCATGCAACTGATTAAGAATAAAGAAATATATAGCACAAGCTGGTTTACCCGATCATAGATCGGGTAGGGCGTAGTGTTGGGGATGAAAATGTGGGGAGTTAAATGTAAATGGGGGATATAGTTGGTGAGACATGCAGTTAAAGAATATCAATTTCTGTGGTGTGATCTGAGGCAATTTCTGATCACTAAAACCAATTTGAG